TGGGGAGAGATTCTTACCTTTCAGCCCTCCAGGCTCCTGCTGGCCTGAAGTGCGACTGCTCCAAATTCGAGCTAGCTCTAACACCTATCAATGTTTGTGCAGCTCGCAGGATAAGGTGTAACAAGGCCCTAAGTGGGAAAAGCTACTGCATAGTCATTCCCATTTGGAACAGCTTGGGATTTTAGCTACCTTCCTCCTTTCTAGTTATTTCTTCACTTTCTCCTTCTACACCCAGTGAAAATTCAATTTTTTCATACTTCAGCAGCAGGAGAAGAGATGTTCATCCTTTCTACTGAAATATTACCTTCACAAAGGCAGTGGTGCACTAAGACCAGCTTCACAAGTGTAAAGTCCTGTTTCTAGCTGACTAACAGAAGGCAGAGTAGATTTGCACTTTTGTAGACTAAGTCAAAGATGTATAGCGTAAGTTTCATAAGCAGAGGGCTTACTTCATCAGATGCTGTGAAGGGGCTTCAGGAGGCAGAGCTGCTAAATAGAAAGCTGTGATTAGAATACAAAGGTAGGGCATTTGAATTAATGATTAGGATACAAAGAGTAGAGCTGCTTTCTGTTTGGTAACTCTACTTCCTGCAGTCCCTTCACAGCATCTGATGAAGCAAGCTATCTGCTTTCAAAAGCTTATGCTATACATTTCTGATTTAGCTAGTCTTTGAAGGTGCAAATTTATCCCACCTTCTGCCTGATTTCAGACTAACACAGCTGGCTACCTCTCTTTAGTTTTTTTTGAACCACATCCCATAGCCTAAGATTTAAATATGGAATGATAACCTTAAATTTTAGGGGCTTAAGAAGAGCAGTGTAATAAATCACAGAATGATGTGGCTATTTTTTCCTTAACATAAATAACATCAGTTTCTGTAACTTCAGTTTTGTGATGCAATATGGCTAATGTTTCTTGTGGTGTTTCTGTAAATTACTTGTGTCAGCTGAATGTTGTGCTTGAAGGCAAACATGATCCTATAGCGATAGAAGTCCCTGCCTACATGATATTGGTAAAAATGAACAAAAAGAATGAATCTCAGTACAGCTGTTATATACAGTTTTTCCAGGATTGTTCATGTTGCTGTCAGCTCCCAGTGTGTTTTTGGCTCTCACAGAAGTAGATTTACTATAGCCAGTATTAACTGAGTTATTTGTCCCCAGGACCTAACAGTTGAGTCTGATTTTTATGAACCAATGGTATCATTCTTTTTGATACTCTAAAAGCACATTGAGCTCTGTAGAGAACTTCTACTGCAGCAAGTTCCGGTGGCCCCCCGTTGTATAACACTGCAGATTCCATGGCAGCAGTGAAAGTGGCTGCAATCAGCTTCCCCTTCCCACAGCAAAGAATCCAGGAGGATTTTGTGGCCATCATCAAGTTCCAGTCATCAAGTTTCCTCCTCTTTCATTCCTGACTGCACAGTTTGACAGTTTTTACAGTAATGTGCGCTTCTGACAATTTTACTTTTAATATGAATTTAATGCGTAAAACCTCCCCCCAAAAATATGCACAATATTGTGAAAATAAAATATAAAACTTAAGAACCAGCTGCAGGAGTAAACTGTTCTCTGGCAGATTCTTGATGATGGTCATCTTTTTTGGCAGAGGTCATTTTTGTTTTCACAAGGGACACACCACTCATTTTGTCCTAAGGTAGTGGAGATTATTATTTTCTAATTCTTTTTATGAAATGCTGTTTATGAAATTAGCTAATTTTATTCTATTATTTGAACATGATGATTGACAGAAACAGGAAAACTTTGAACATGCACTGTATTCTAACAAATGTAATCTATATAACATGGTATTCCTCAGCTTTTCATCTTTTTCTTTTAATTTTCTATTATAGATAACTATACTCAGGCCTTCAGTGGCATCCACCCAGTCTGCTTCTGAGAGCTTTCATTATGGCCACCAGCTAGAGAAGAGAGACCGGGACAGTCAGCCTATGGAACACACTGTGGAACTTTCTTCTCCTAAGGAGAATTTTCTTGGATTGATAGTGACAGACAGTGCACTTCCAAATAGTGCCAGCAGACCAGATCTGGTGCTTCAGTTAGACCATATCAGCCAGGAGGGGCTTGGGAGAAAAGAACATGTCAAAGAATGTGTCAGATTCGTAGAGTATGGCCAAAAGGATGTACTTGAACAAAATAGCAGGAGGCACAAAGAGGAAGACCCTGAACATCTCCCTGTAAAATCTGAAGAAGAAAGGCTTCCCATCATTTCTGAGGATGTCATTCAAATACTAAGCAAAGGGCAGAATTCTCCTCCACTAGCAAACTCAAAATCTGTAGAGGAGGAACCTCCAGCCACTGGTGAACCTGATGAAGAATCAAAGCCAAGGACTTCTTGCTTGGTGCCAAATCAAGATGCAGACCTTGAAGTTCTGAAATCAACAGGAGCTGAAAGGACAGATGTTGTTCCATCAAGAGTTATTGACCCTTTTGCTGACAGAGAAGGAAGACAAATAGTAGCAGTGCAGGAAAATGGTTTCCATGATAATGAGGAAAATGATAGTGCTGAAGACTTGAAATGTCACCAAGTGGCGCTTACTACTTTCTTGCACCAGGAGGGCAAAAGAGAGAAAAATGCCCCCAAAAATGGAGAACTATTTCATTGCATTTCAGAGAATGAGAGTTCTCATCAGTCCAAGAAAGACTTAGTTAGATCACCCTTTGTGTTCAGGCAGAGTCGCATACCGGTTTTAGCACAAGAGATAGACTCGACATCAGAATCCACTTCTCCTGTGTCAGCAAAGGAAAAACTTCTCCTAAAGAAGGCACATCAGACAGACTTGGTCAGGCTACTTGTGGAAAAGAGACAGCTTAAATCCTTCCTTGTTGACCTCTCAAGTGCCTCTGATAAATCACTGGAGGAAAAAGTGTCTGCTGCTCCTGTACCATTTTCTGAGGATGAAGTCTTATCCTCTTTTTCTAGACTGACACTGGACTCACATTTGGGCAAGCAAGGTGAGGATGGCTCTTTGTCACCCAGTAGCCCTCAGTCCAGAAAAAGCAAGATTCCAAGGCCAGTGTCCTGGGCTACTACTGATCAAGTCACCAGTTCAAGCTCAGCTCAGTTCTTTCCTCGGCCACCACCAGGAAGACCACCACCAAGACCTGGGGTAGAAGCCAGGTAATACAGGCAACCTAGAAATAGTCTTTAAATATTTTACTTTAGAGTTGTTTGGAATAAGTTTGCAGTAAGCAGTGGTGATGGCCCAGACCTTCTGTCATTTGTAAACCCATTTCTTTTTAAAGTACTGTTTTTGAGTTATGTGAGAAATACCTTGACTGGTTAAAAAGAACTTTAGCTTAAACACAGATGTTAGACATTTGCAGTACTTTAGAGTGTGACAGAAGGATGTTGCAGTCCCCCGCTGACCTCTCTAATAGATGAGCAGAATTTTAAAATGGCTGTCTATAGTTAAATCTGTATTCAGAAACATAATTGAAAGTGACCTGATTTTAAGTAGTGCTGAGCACTCACAAAATTCACTGAAGTCAATGAACCCATTGAAGTCAATCAAGTGTAGGCCAATTACCCTTGGGCCCTTGTGAATAGACAGCCATGATCCTGTTTCTTGTGCGTCTAGACTAGGGATGGGCAAAATACAGCCTGCAGGCTGAATCTAGCCCACCAGGTGATTTCATCTAGCCTGAGGGCGGGTGCCTACCATTTCACTGTATCTAGCCCGACCCTGGGCTGCTCCTTCTGTGCTTGCATGGGGCTGAGCCCTGCTTACTGCCTCAGGACACCGCATATTGTGTTCCCCCCCTTGCCCACAGGATAGCCCTGACCCCAGCCCCGCAGCTAGGGAAGCAACAGCAGGGGGCAAGGGAAGGGTGGTGGTGGTGGTGGTGGATGAGTGGAAATAGTGGCAGCAGTGGCTTTTGGAGAGTGGGAGGGAAGCAGTGGTGGGCAGGAGTGCAGCAGCAGTGTGGGGCCCACACCAGCTCTGCAGGCCCAGGGCCAGTAGTGGCCTAGGGTGGGGTGGCAGGAGCACAGAGCTTGGGCCAGTGGGGGCACAGGGTCCGCCTGGCTCCATTGCATAGAGCTCGCTGGGGCTCGCATGCAGTTCCTGGGTACTCCACCTAAGCTGTGTGCCTATGGGGACATCCCCATGCAATGGAGCCAGTTGCCCAGTCCCACTCGCTGCCATGTTCAGGTCATGGGGGATGGCAAGGAGCTTTGTGCTATGCAACTGGGCTGGCTCCACCCGTCTCCCTGCTGGACCCCATTACCTGCACCATTGGCTTCATCATGTGGGGCTACCCCCTGGTGGTGCAAGACTTGGGTGGAGAATCCTGGAACTGTTCAACATCTTCATCAGCAACTTGGACGAGGGGGTAAAAAGCACCCTGTTCAAATTTGCTGAGGACACTAAGATGTGGGGGGATGTGGGCACTCTAGAAGGGAGCAATAGGCTACAGTTGGACCTAGACAGGTTACAAGGGTGGGCGGATGAGAACAGGATGGGATTCAACACTGACAAGTGCAAAGTGATGCACCTGGGGAGGAACAACAGGCACCATACCTACAGGTTGGGGAACTCCCTGCTTGTCAGTACAGAGGCAGAAAAGGATCTTGGAGTCATCATTGACTCCAAGATGAACATGG